AAGGGAAGGAAAGGAGAGGGGAGGAGAATGGGGTGGGTATGGGGCCAGAGTGTACAAGCAGATGCTCTGCAGCCATCAATGTACTTTAGACCTCATATGCTAAAATGGCCCAGAAGTCACATCTCTCTACTAGCTAGCGGAGCTGAGTGGTTCATAGGGTGACAAGTGGTCACAATGCTAACTATTTATTCACATCAAGTGTGTTCACTGTTTATCATCAGATTTGTTCTATATAATAATGAGAAACAGCACTAGCCTTTTAGGTGGGATGTAGAAAACATTGAACAGGGCCAGTGTCAGTGATGCCATTATTTCAAGCAGCCTATCATTCTTTTAGTAGCATATATCAAGTATATGTACTTTGATGACATCAAATACTGGATACCATAAGCAGTAAACTACAGATTCTATAGGCTTGACAAATCCATAACATCAAGTGACCAATAAATAAATATATATAAAAATATACTGTTGGCTCATAGTGACACCACACCATAGTTATGAATTGTTGGTCACTACACTTGGTATCATGATAATGTAGTGAGATGACAAAGGTTGACGGGTGATGCCCTGAGGTGATAATCCACTTGCAAAGTGGCTATTCTCCTAAGATTTTACCTTCCCTCTATATATGGTCTACTTATTATGTTACATAATGATAAATGTATTTTTTCTTTTAACTTTTTTACCATCCATATTAAAGTGCTGAAACCTTAAAATCATCACAAGTTAAATATTCCCAATTCTTAACAGTAAACAGAAGAACAGGTCTGATATCAATCTGCGAGCAAACTTGGTGTGAATAAATGGACAACACAAACATTTTGCATGAACCAATGAGTTTTGTTAGCTAAGGTAGAGATGTGGTTCCGAGGCAATTTTAGCATATGGTAGGTATGCTTATGCTTACAACAGAAATATGCTTTCATTAACCAAAACAAAAAATCATACCAAGAGCAAAAGAAATGTATTGCAAAAACAGAAAATACTTTCTTTTCTTATGATCCTAAATTAGCCAACTTCACAAGGTGTACATGATCAAAAGAAATGCAGATATAGATTAAACATACACTATTGACTTCATTAAGCATCAGCAGTTAATTTTATACAAGAAACCAAAATTAATATCCATTACTTTCTTACTGTAATTTACCTTGCATTCTTATTATTTAGCCAAATATTATCTATATCAATCTTAATTCCAGCAAATTTAAGGTTTACTTCTAGAGAATGCCTTTCAAAAATAAAAGTAATAATAATATTAAGTAATGTTTATGAGAGCAAAATTTTGGCATAGTTCATATTTTGGCAATTTAAACAAAAGAGAGAGAAAAAAAGGACATGAAGTCTTTTCAAAATGATAAAAGGATATCCTGCAAAGATAAAGGTAAAAGATTACTTTTATTTTGCTTAAAAGTAAAAAAAATCTTACCCTTATCAACATGTCATTTCCAAATAAAAATAGTTTTGAAATGACTTTTCATACTTAAATCATATTTGAAGAGCTTCTGCTTAATAACAGACCAAGAAAATGAAGCTTATAATTGCACACACATTCAACAACAGGTTTCTGTAAGGATCATCAGACACATACAAAATGCTTGATCGAGCACCCAATCTCACTTACTGCATCCCTTTGGTATTGAAACATACTATTTTGTAAATGATTATATTAGATTATTTTTGTTTACTGTCATTTATTGTTATAAAGAATTTGTAAAGGGTTCCTCTCTCACTGCCAGTTTACAAACAGTAATGAGCTGAAATATGAAGCCAAACCCCACCCTCGATGGCAAAGAAAAATTTTCAAAAGAATGAAAGTAGTGATCCAAATGTGGGAGAAGTTGCCATCAGAAATTAAAATGGGAATTGCAGTTGTTTCACCCCTAGCTGCAAATGCCTCTGCTCTGACAAAGAAACACATCATGACGAAAATAAACTTGATGATATGAAGATGATGGTTTAAAGACCCAATTTTATTCATGAACAGTAAAGGCAATTTCTAATTAGCAGTGCCAATATTGGCAAACTTGCAAAAAATGCCAACTTTCTCTAGTATAAATTTGGAGAAAATGGCAAATTTTCTTGATCAAGCAAAGGAATCCTTGAAGAAATAAAGGGAAGATGTGCCATCAGATTATTATATTGCTGGTGCCACTATTGCAATAAAAGTAGAACCAGCATTTCTCCCCCAAAGAAATATGTTTAAAAATAAGTCCTTGAACCTTGAATATCAACATCTCAAATTACAGAGGACATAAAATAGTCTGTGGTGGAGCTATATAATGGCAATGAATACATTAAACCTATCAATCCAAAAGGATAATAAAGACATAGTCATTTCTTATACTCAATTAGCAGTACAAGAAGCAATCTTCAAACATGAACAGTAATGTCACAAATAAAGGAAAAAGACCACAGAAAGTGCCTAAGTTCACTTGGTAATCCCAAGTTTCAGCTTTATCTTGCAGTGCATACCAAGGTGAAGAGAATGTTTCCTGATGCCCTTTGGGCATTGCCCTTCCCTTGGACAATGCCCAAAGGACACATCCAGTTGCAGAAACTGTTTGTTGAACAGATACTGTGATGTGTTGTTGGAGACTCTGGCGAGTGTGTCTGTACTGTAGAGAGATTTCCCAATATTCGGTGTCAGACAATTGTGTATGATCCTGGGCCAGAAATCCCCAAGAGTGAAGCAAAGACCAAGGAGAATAGCTTAACTGATTCTGCAACTCAAACTCCCAGCATATGACCAGTAAGATCAGCACAGAAGAAAATGTCAGTTGTACTGGATTGAATGATGTTGGCTGAGGGGGAGGAGCTTTGTCCTCCATGCATACTTAACTCTTGCTGGTGTGTCTGAGGCAGTAGTAATGAGAGGACATTTTTCGACACATCCAGTTGCATAAACTGTTTGTTGAACAGATACTGTGATGTGTTGTTGGAGACTCTGGCGAGTGTGTCTGTACTGTAGAGAGATTTCCCAATATTCGGTGTCAGACAATTGTGTATGATCCTGGGCCAGAAATCCCCAAGAGTGAAGCAAAGACCAAGGAGAATAGCTTAACTGATTCTGCAACTCAAAACTCCCAGCATATGACCAGTAAGATCAGCACAGAAGAAAATGTCAGTTGTACTGGATTGAATGATGTTGGCTGAGGGGGAGGAGCTTTGTCCTCCATGCATACTTAACTCTTGCTGGTGTGTCTGAGGCAGTAGTAATGAGAGGACAGTTTTGTGATTACAATCATTGTGTTGTTTTTTCTACACAACCCCCCTTCCCTTTTTGACAGTGCCTTGACGAGTAGCTCTCAATGGAGAAAAACATAGCTATTGCTTTAGGGAAAAGTAATAAGGAAATTTCCACTCTGACCAGAAGTGGATAAGGAACCATCCAGCACTGGACTAGGAAGATCACAGACTCTGGAGGTAAGAATCTACCCCATCACAAATCTCACTCTGGGAGGCCCTGTAAAACAACTTATAGGACTCTCAAACTCATCTCACATGAAGTGCAGGCTGAGCCTTCAGTGACTGCAAAAGAAATAAAGGAAAAGAATCCACTGCTGGTGAGGGAGGTAAGTGTTCATACAATCCAACACCATCTCAAGGACAACCTCTCTTATGAACACAACCAGCCATGACAAAAATCACTGCTCATCAAGAGACAAAGATAGAAAAGTTATATTTTCTAAGAAATGTTTGAACAGGGACCTGAAGAAATGGGAGCATGTGTTGTGAACTGACATGGCACCCTCTACAGTGACTGGAAACAGACGAGGGAAGGGGTGATGAGGCCAGGCACGGATCCATTCTCTTTAAAGTATTTGCAAGTCACAGGCAAACACCCACATTCAGTGATGCCATGGGTGCCTTCAGATACCATGGTACAGGGAGGCTTCTTGTCCTGCCGAGGAACACAACTGTGAACAAGGACTGCTAATTAGAGCTCCTTCATGAACATTTGAGGACTGCTTTGGCCACAGTCAGTCCGTGTTCCAATAGGAATGTGCACCAGCCAACACATCAAAATTAATAATCAAGTTGGTGTTGACATCAAAGACTAGCAGGGGAATTCCCCACACCATAGCCTCGTCAAGAACATCTGGGGGCTCTTGAAGAAGGGAGGGACATCTCAACCATGAATAAGCTCATGGAGCACCTCCATGACACATGGGGCAACCATGAGCCGAGTCTCCTGCAACAAATGGCAGAATCTATCCCAAAACGTACGACAAGTCGTGTGAAGCATAAGGGACTTGCCACTTTTTACTAAGATTGTGGGTACTCCCTCCATATTACTTTTTATGTTTCATGAGTACACATTGCTAGACAGCACCAATGCTTATAGTGCTGACAGCATATATGACGCTACAGTTTATCAGACACACACACACACAGTACTTCAAAAATTTTGTTTGTATGTATGGAATGTTCATAAGTAGAATGTTCTTAAGTAGGGGACTATCTGTATATATATATATTAGCTAGCATGGCAAGCAGTACTGAGAACCAAACAAGTGATGAACTTCCAAGACATTCTTTTATGACACAGGTGTAACAAACAAACAAAAACAAGTAAAGGATAAGGTGTAATGATGACCATGGTCAAAGCACTTTTGGCACTCCTGCTAAGGCTAGAAAATCTGTCACATAATTTCTGGAAGGATAAGCCTGGCACCAGTTCCTCACTTTAAGATATATTGCCATGGAGGTCTAACACATGAGGTTTTTTGGCTTTTGCCAGAGTGCCAACAGAATCTGACATTCACACTGGTGAGGCTAGTGGTGGTATAGATGTCTTTATACATTTAGTATTTTTTATTATAAGACAACCATAGCTTTCATATTAAGAAGCATATGGATTGACAGATTGACTGAATCTAAGATATTTTGCATCAACTTTCATCAGTAATTCCTTAAGTATAGATACGCTTGCGAGAGACAAAGTCCCTAACTCTACATCATAAAATTCATTCAACAATCTAAGTTGCCATGAT